CAGAGATTTATAGTTCTACGAAAAGTACCTATTCGCTAATGTACCTGTTCGTCACTATCGCGCTATGCGCCCTAGATGATAATGAAGGGGTGCGACTGTTCGCGTGACTGAAACGACTGTCCTATGACGAGCGCTATTTGCTGACATCATCATACGGACTTATCGTCTACAGTATGATTCGACATTAACTACACATAATCGACTTACAGAAATGCTAAGTATCAATTATATCACAACACTCCCCTTCATTTCTGGAAGTTCGATAGTGTCACTTCTTGAAGATTCCGCAGAGCTTGCTACAGTACTTAAACTTCTGTCGTGTCAGCTTCTTCGTAAGAAAATCGGCAGCCATTTCGTTGGTCGAACAGTAGACCAATCGCATCCTCCCCTTCTCGACTTCATCTTTGACGAAAAAATAACGAAGCGAAATATGCTTCGTTCTGTTCACGAAACCAGGCTGATGTGCGATGCGAATTGCACTTTGATTGTCGCACTGTAGGGTAAACTGGGTAGTTGTCGTCAACTTCGCTTCTTCCAATAGTTCCTGTAAGTAAAGTCCTTCGCGTGTTGCTGTGCAGACAGCAATAAACTCAGCTTCAGCAGAGGAGAGTGCAATCAGCTCCTGCTTCGTAGAATTCCAAGAGATAGGTCCGACAGGTTCCAGTCGATAGATGAACCCAGTGCGTGACCGTCGATTAGTAGAATCAGCAGCGTGATCGGCGTCGACAAAACCGTGTAGATAGAGTGTTTTACAACCGATGACGTTGTAGACTAATCCGACGTCAGGTGTCGAGATAAAATATTGAAGCGCGCGGAGAAGATCAAGCTGATGCTCCTCCTCAGGACGGCGTAGGAACTGTGCGAGCTGACTGGCCGCATAGGCTAGATCAGGACGACAAGTGACAGCGGCGAAAAGTAGACAGCCTAGCTGCTGTTGATAGATCTGTAAACCGGTTGAAGTTAACAGTGCGGTGTTCGGTTTGTGGTCAGTCGGTAGTGAGCGGAACGGTGTAGAGACTGCAGTAGGTATGAGGTTGAAGCGGGCAGCGAGTGTTGCTGCATACTTCGAAGCAGTGAGATGAATAATTGTCCGTGAACAGGTAATGTTCAGTCCGAGAAACTGTGAGACTGTTTCGGAGACGGTAAGCTGTAGATTTTCCTGTAATTTCAGTATGAAGGTCTCGGCAAGGGAATCGGTAGTACTGACGTATAGGATGTCATCGACGTAGGCGACGAGTAAAATGTAGTTGCTGCCGTCGGTCAGTAGATACATTCCCTGATCATGCGGTAACTGTCGAAATCCAGCAATGATCAGCTGCGAGCGAAGATACTGCTGCCAGAGCCGTGGTGCCTGTTTAATGCCGTATAGAGATTTTCGGAGACAGCAAACGCTCGGTGGGTTAGTAGTATAAGAATGCGGGTACTCTACCAGGATGAGTGTGTCGAGAGGCGCGTAGAGAAACGCATTCGAGACGTCGATTTGGCGAAGACGTAGATTACGGCAGGCGGCGACACAAAGAAGAATCCGAACGCTTGTATGTCGGCCGACAGGAGCAAATGTTAGTTCATAGTCGATGCCGTAAGTCTGCTCGAATCCGCGGACGACCCATCGCGCTTTGAACTTTTCAAACGACCCATCTGCATTAGTCTTGACGCGGAAGACCCATTTTCCGGTAAGTACCTTCTTCCCTTTGGCCTCTGAAGTCGGTACTAAATCCCATGTTCCGCGATTCTTGAGTGCTGCTATCTCCTTGTCCATGGCTTCGCGCCATTTCTCTCGGTGAGGACTCGTAAGAGCTTGTCGGATAGTTTTCGGTTCAGGTATCTTACTGTCGTTGCACTGTACTGCTACTGCAAATCCCAGTATCTGCAATCCTGTTTCTGTAAAACGAGGACGTTCTTCGTTTGCACCTGCGAAATTTTCTTCTGCTCCTTCTTCCCCCCCAATTTCGTCACGTGTAACACGAACTGCTTCGTCAGAGACGGCGGGCATCGGCTGTTGCTGGCGGCCACGTTCGTAACTGAGACGAACTTCGCGAACATCATCCTGGTCAGCATCTGCAAGAGGAATGAATTCAGGTATGCCGGTCGAGGTGATAGGTTCGGGAACGTTTGTTGCGGCAGCTTCGGAAGCTTCAGAAACATCCTCGTCCTGTACATCAGCTTCGGCTTCGTCAGTTGCAAACGCACGCGAGCCTTTGAACAGCCTGGCAGGATTGGCAGCTGCTGTCTGGTGGGCACGAAAAACAGGCAAGGTGAGTCTTTCATAGAAAAGACAATCACGTGATGGAACGATTTGATGGGAGCGAAGGTCCAAAATCTTCCACGCGTGATACTGTTTTTCGATGCCGAGGTGTACCCCCCATTTTGCTCGTTCAGAAAATTTTCCGAGTGCTGCAGTTGGAGGACGAAACTGTACAACACACCCGAAAACTCGTAAAAGTTTTGTGCTTCCCACTGTTCGTGTCCACTGCAGGTGTGGAGAAGAAAACTCGGGCAGGGACGTTGAAGAAAGAAGATTGTGTAACAGCACGGCGTGGTCCATCGCATACGGCCAAAAATGCGGTGGAAGTGCTGCCTGCGTCAGCAGAGCACGCATCTTCTCCTGCAGAGTTCTGTTCAACCTTTCTGCTACCCCCATCTGTTGGTGTGCATGCGGCAGAGACTGCTTCCGTTTGATGCCGAGTGTCTGAAGGTAGTCTGTGAAAGTGTTGCTGGTGTACTCCCATGCACCATCACTCTGAAACACTTGTTGTTTCTTCAAGTCGTGTTTCGAAATCTGTTTCTGAAACATCAACTGTGGTGACGCAGCCAAAAACCCCTTTTCCTGATGTGGCAGATGCGAAGACCGGCGGACGATGCTGCGACGTCGATGGATTCGGTGGCGGTTTCGGTATCTGCTGCTGCTGAGACGTTAACTGCTGCTGTAGTAGTTGTGTCTTCGGTAACTGCTGCAATCGTTGATACGGCTGCGAAGTATTGCGACGATTTTGATGACGGCTGCGACAGTTTTGGTAAGTATGTCCTGGTTTCTTACAGAAATGGCAGAATGGGTACTTTGGTGGATGTCGATGGTGTGTTTCTGGACTGGAGTAAAAACTTAAATGAACCCCCCTTTTCTGGTTGCGTTGTGACTGCAGGTCAAGATCTTGCTGCTCTGCTTGAAGGTAAGAAGAAATTTCAGCTTCGGAGAGGTTGGGATTCATGTGCAGGAAGGCGCGCGTCTGTCGCCATTCGGGTCCAAGGCCAGCCAGAAGGACTGTGAGATACATCTCACGAGGGAAGTATCCCCCGCTCTTCTCCAGTTGGTCACGTAGTGTACGGACGCGGTTAACGTAGTCCATGACGTTTTCATTTGTCATCATCTGCACACTTGTCAGCTGCGAAAGTATTTTACTCACTGTTATTGTATCCTTTGCCATGTATACCCCCTTCAGATGGTTCCATGCAGTTTCGGCTGGTGTAAAACTTGAGTGTAACGATCGAACGCCGAGCTGGTCCTTTGGCGATAATTTCCGTACAAGAACTGTATACGCCCCGAGAGAGGCGTGCAAGAAAATCTGCTGCTCCAGTTGTGTTCCCACGACAGGGTACATGAACTCGCCAGTGAAGAACGGCCATAGCCCAGCGGACTACGCCAGAAGCTCAAACTCAAAGCTCCAGGAGTAGAAGTCGACTCCGTTAAAAGGAATGGTTGTCTTGATTTGAGTATTGTTAAGTAAATTTGGAGGCTGAAAGACATTGCCCGGCTGTTGTTGCTGTTGTTGCTGTTGTTGCTGTTGTTGTTGTTGTTGCTGTTGCTGAACTTGCTGTGGCTGCTGAGTAGGGGGACGACCGAAGATGTAGAAAGGATGCGGAAACTGCTGTGACTGCGGCTGTTGTACGAAAGGTGAGAAAGCGAACGAACCAGTACTTGGAGCTGTAGCTCCACGCATGTAACTTGAGCCGTCAAGGCTCATTCCACTGAACGCAGATGAAATCGATTGCGTTGAAACTGGTGGCTGTACTGACGCTTGTTGCTGTGTTGTCGTCGGTAATTGTTGCTGTTGCGTTGCAGGTGCAGTCGATGGAGCACCTGGAGTATTCACAGAAGGCGGATTCTGATGTTGCATACCGATATTGGCGTAGGCTGGTGGAAAGTGCCCAGAGGCTGAGAGACCAGCGGCCGTAGTGGAGGCATGTGCTCCAGTAGTCCCAGTAACTGATCCAGCAGATGGTGCTGGTGTTGAACCAGTCATGATTGACGGTAGTCTTAATTCCAGATAGCTCTCATACCATGAAATAAATCGTCTGATGTTGTAGTAGACTAAGTATAAAACTTCAAATGCGAACACTTGGCAAATCCTCAAGTGTTGGTCCAGGATCTTTGCTGGAATGGTAGACTAGAAAGAGAGCGGAAGTCTTGTAAAATGTTAAGGTCAAGGTTGAATAACTTGAGTACGTGAACTTGTGAGTAATCAAAGTTAATAATGAAAAAAGACCTAACAGAGATTTATAGTTCTACGAAAAGTACCTATTCGCTAATGTACCTGTTCGTCACTATCGCGCTATGCGCCCTAGATGATAATGAAGGGGTGCGACTGTTCGCGTGACTGAAACGACTGTCCTATGACGAGCGCTATTTGCTGACGTCATCCTACGGAATTATCTTCTACAGTATGATTCGACACTAACTACACATAATCGACTTACAGGAATGCTAAGTATCAATTATATCACAAGAGCTTTTACATGCATTAAGCCTAATAACCCGAAGGTGAACAGATTGGAGGGCTTCTTTCCACAGACTTAACGTACATTCGAACTGTACAATACACCCGAACATTCATGAAGAGTCGGAAAAATTGGAACTGGGTCGGGTTCGGGATGGACAACATCTGCATGTGTAAATTTGCGAACATTCATGCTATAGACTTAATTCCCCAAAATAAGGGAAGCTACACTCTTGGGCAAACTTCGTTCGTCGGTCAAACGTACGAATGCGCTCTAATAGCGAGTTTCTCGCCACCATCCCTCTCACACCGTGGCGCCTCGAGCTGCTAGACCATCGTCTGCTTCCCGACGGGCTGCGTCAGCCCCTCCTCTCGCCCAACCCGCTCCGTTCCGCGTGTCGTGGTCGCATTCTGAATAGCCACCATGACGCGCTTCGCGCCGCAGGACTTTTACTTCAAAGAGGCGCGGCGCCTGGGCTACGTGGCGCGCTCCGCGTTCAAGGTTATTGTTCCTTTGAATACTCCTTCCCTGTGCCCTTGTTACTCCCACGCCTCGTGCGCTGCGGCGTCCGTGCGCTGTCAAGCGCCCCGCTCTCTGCGCCGTCCGTCGCCCCCGTGTGCGCCAGCGAACCCTGCGGCGTCGACCGTCAACCGTCGACCGTCGACCGTCTACCAGCGACCGGCGACCAGCGACCAGCGACCAGCGACCAGCGATTAGCGAGAGCAAGTAGCGAGGAGCGCGCATAGCTAGTACCGCGGACGGACAGCGAGGCTTCACCCTGCGCCCCCGTATGCACCCCCTCCCCCTGCCGATACAGTCAAAACCACACTCTATCCTCCCCCACTCTCCCCCCCTCTAACCCCCTATTCCACGTTCCCCTCCCCCTTTCTTAGTCCCCTCCCCCTTTCTTCTTCCCCTCCCATTCTTCTCCTCCCTACTTCCCCTCTCTCCCCCTCCCCCTATCCCCCCCACCCCCGCAGCTGCAGGAGGTGCAGCGGCGGCACGGCGTGATCAAGAGGGGCGGCGCAGTGCTGGACCTGGGGTGCTGCCCGGGGGCATGGCTGCAGGTGATGGTGATGGGGGCATGGCTGCAGGTCATGCATTCTAGGGTGGGGATTGCTGGCGTGTTGTCATGCGTGATGCATGCATGCATGGCAGTCGTGCCAGATGGCGCCACAGCACGGATGTGTCTGTTGGAAGCCATGCGAGATGCGAGGTGCTGTACGAGGCGTGGCGTGCCTCGAAGCTGCTGGCTTGCATGGCTCCATATGACTCTCCCACGTGTTGATGCGGCGTGCAGGTGGCGTGCCAGTCGCTGGGCCCCATGGCGCTAGGCGGATGTGTGGTCGGCGTTGACATTCAGGTGGGCGCACTCCGTGCTCACGTGCATCTCTGCGTGTGTATGGCTACTCGTACAGTCACACGGACCGCATGTGTGTAGGGTTTACAGATGGTTGTTGCTGTTGTAATCGCACGCATCCCAGCGCTACCCAAATGCGCATCACTCAAGACCGGCCCGGAGGTCCTGACTAGACGTTTGGGTGCGCTGCTTTGAAAGATTCACCCGCTTGGGCGATTTCATGTGCTGCCTTCCGCTCCATGCAGCCATGGCCGCATGCCTTTACCGCCGGGTCATCAATCCACTCTGCCCAGCTCCACACATCCCCTCTTTCCACGCACCTTCCATCAGCCCACGGCCGTGCCCCAGCGGTGGTGCGACAGCCGTGTGCGCACCATCCAAGCAGACGCCTTCGCCCTCTCGCCAGCCCTGCTGCTCCGCCTCCTCTCCTCCCTCCAGGTACCGCATCTACTGCCGCCTCCCTTTCTTCCTCCCCGCCCCCATGCCCTTCACCCACTTTCTCTCCCTTCTCCCTGCTCAACGCTTTCTTGCCATTTCACTCTTCCAGCCTGCCACCTCAGCGTCGCTTACTTGGCTCCTCCAATCCTCTGTGGTCTCTCTCCTCTCTCCATCTCGCTCCTCTCTCTCCCCACTCCCCTCCCTTCTGCCATGCCTCCCTCCTGGCATGCCTCCCCGTCATTGTGCATTCGCCCCAGTACCCGCCTTGTGGCGGAGCCGCAAGCCCTTCTCCCTGGTCTCTCTTTACTGTCCTGTCCTCCCTTGTAACACGTCGCCCTCCACTTCACCTCATGTGTACCTCTTCTCACTCCCATTCTCACTCCCATTCTCACTCCCATTCTCATGCTGCTGTTCCTCCATCCCATCCCACTCACATGCCTCTCCTCCTCCTCCTCCTCCTCCTCCTCCTCCTCCTCCTCCTCCTCCTCCTCCTCCTCCTCCTCCTCCTCTCCTCCTCCTCCTCCTCCTCCTCCTCCTCCTCCTCCTCCTCCTCCTCCTCCCCTCCCCCTCCCCCTCCCCCTCACCCTCCCCCTCTTCATCTACTTCCCTCCTCCCTCACACTCTCTGACTACAATCCCTCTCCCATCTCCTTCCCTCCAATCTCATTTCTACTCTCATCTGTCTCCTCTCTGCCCTTTCCCCACCTTTTCCCCCTCCCTTGCCCCACCCAGCCTCACCTGCCTTCCCCGCCTCGCTTCTCCACCCTCCTCTCAGACATGTGTCCCTCCACCTCCGGTGCCTCCCCCTCCGATGCCGCCGCCTCTCACTCCCTCGCCCGCCGCGCTCTCGCCCTCGCCGCCCACTCCCTTTACACACCCTCTGAGCCCCTCACCTCGCACCCATGGCACTCACAGCCGCCTAACACGCATGCCTCACACACACACCGCTTCAAGCGCCACGGCTCACACTCACTCCCGGCCTATACTGACTCAGGCAGCGGCGAGAGCAGAGGCGCAGGCGCAGCAGCTGTTGCAACAGCAAAGGACCCAGGAGCGGTAGCAGGAGCAGACGGAGCAGCAGCAAGGGCGCAGTCATCAGGGGGAGCAGCAGCACGTGGCCAAGGGGGGGAAGAAGAGAGCAGAGGTCTTGCAGAAGGGTTTTGCGATAGAGTCTCAGCAGCTAAGGGTGGCGTGTTGGCGGTGGGGGGTCACATGGTGGTGAAGATACTAGAGAGTGAGGATACCCCAGGTACGGTGGCAGGGAGTGGTGGCAGCAGGGTAGCGAGGGCTGTCTGTTGCTGCTGCCACACCTCTTCTCCTTCGCCCGCCTTCCACTCTCAACTGTCCCACAACTCCCCCCATCCCCTCCCCCCTTCCCCCCTCGCTTCCTCCTCCCCTCTCTCTCCCTCCCCCCCTCCTCTCCTAAAGACTACGTGGGTGATTGTCGCCAGCTCTTCTCATCAGTCACGCGCCTTCGCCCCAAAGCCACGCGGCCCTCCTCTCGCGAGATTTACGTCATTGCCAAGGGGTTCAGAGGAGTGTCAAGTGGTCAAGGGACTCGATTTATAGGGAGTACGTAGATTGCATTTCCTCATGCCATGCTGTTATGTTGCTTCGCATCAAGTGGTCATGTACAATATGTACAGTGGGTCAATCACCTAAAGCAAATTGAAGTGTATGTTCGACAGCACCATATGCACTCAGCACTTGATGCACCAACAGCCCACCTGTTCCTGCTGTGTGTGGTGTGGTCGCACCAGCAGCTGATGGCACTGATGGCACTGATGGCACTGATGACACTGATGGCACTGATGGCACTGATGACACTGATGGCACTGATGGCACTGATGGCACTGATGGCACTGATGGCACTGATGGCACTGATGGCACTGATGGCACTGATGGCACTGATGGCACTGCTGGCACTGATGGCACTGATGGCACTGATGGCACTGATGGCACTGATGGCACTGCTGGCACTGCTGGCACTGATGGCACTGCTGGTACTGCTGGCACTGCTGGCACTGCTGGCATCGCCATGTCCGAATCTCTGAGGCCCACTTGGAGGGGAGCGGCTGCAAGTAGTAGAGTAGTCGGGGTTGTGCTGTGGAGAGTAGCTGTGGAGAGTAGCTGTGGGGAGTCAAGGTCAGTACTTGATGGCGCCCACAGCTCGCATCCACGTGAGCGTGTCTCTGAGGCCCTCCTCCAAGGAGAGCGGCGCGTAGTCGAGGTCCTGGTGGGCCTGCCGGCTGCTGTACGCCCAGTCGTGATTGAATGCACGCACCGACTGATGGGGGCGCAGGGGGTGTGGGAGGGTGGAGCAGGGGGGGTGCTGGCTGCTGGAGCAGGAGGTGGAGCAGGAGGTGGACGCACGACTCACGAGGTCCTGGTGGGCCTGCCGGCTGCTGCACGCCCAGTCGTGGCGGAATGCACGCACTGACTGGGAGTGGTGGAGGCGAAAAGGGGGAGAGCAAGCAAGCGGAGAGGAGAAAAAGGGGCGACAGCAGGACAGACATAAAGGGGAGCAGTAGCGTGGTGGCTGCTGTCGGCCACCTCTTGCGACGAGAGGGAAAGGGGAAAGAGGAGGCGAGGGACAGGGGAGTAGGGAGAAATGGCGTGGTGCGTGCTGCAGACGTGGTCATGTGCGAACGCCGCGCTCACCTCATGTGCGAATGCCGCGCTCACCTCATGTGCCAATGCCGTGCTCACCTCATGTGCGAATGCCGCGCTCACCTCATGTGCCAATGCCGCGCTCACCTCATGTGCGAATGCCGCGCTCACCTCATGTGGCAATGCCGCGCTCACCTCATGTGGCAATGCCGCGCTCACCTCATGTGCCAATGCCGCGCTCACCTCATGTGCCAATGCCGCGCTCACCTCATGTGGCAATGCCGCGCTCACCTCATGTGCGAATGCCGTGCTCACCTCATGTGCGAATGCCGTGCTCACCTCATGTGCGAATGCCGCGCTCACCTCATGTGCGAATGCCGCGCTCACCTCATGTGCGAATGCCGCGCTCACCTCATGTGCCAATGCCGCGCTCACCTCATGTGCGAATGCCGCACTCACCTCATGTGTGAAGATGGGGATGGGTCCGCCCATTCGTGCCACCACCACGGACACCCACCCCAGCACCGCCACCACCCACAGCGGCAGGCGCAGCCTCGGGGGGCGCTTCCCCGTGGCGCGGTGCACCGCCTGAAACAGCTGCAGCATCGACGCGTTCTCGCCGCCCAGGATGTAGCGCCGCCCGGGCACGCCGCGGTGCTGGGCGGCGAGCAGCCCAAGCACGACGTCGTTGACGTGGACGAAGTTGTTGAGGCGCGCGCCCGAGCCCACCAGGCCGGGCAGCCTCCCTTGGAAATGGTCGGCGATCTGATGGACGGGTGGGAGGGGGATGGCGTGCCATGGGCGGGATAGGAGAGTGGGAGAGGGGGAAGGGAGGGAAGGAGAAAGGATGAGACGAAGAGGAGACAACTGGAACAAGACGGATTGGTGAAGTGGGGAGAGGCAGCAGCGGGATGGTAGGGAGAGTTCACAAGAATTGAGCTAGCCAATGCCACCAGCAACCCCTCTCAATACAGCGCCCCCCATACCATGTTGAGTCACGACGACCACCAAGGCGGCCTCGTGCTTTCACCTCCGCCTCTCACCATCTTGACCACCAGGTTGGCGGTGCTGATGCGACCCGGCCCGTAGATGACGCACGGGTACACCACCACCACGTCCAGCCCCTCCTCCTCTGCCGCCCGCCGAGCCACCCGGTCCGCCGCCCACTTGCTGCGCTCGTACGCCGTGCAGAAGCCACGGCCGGGGTGCTCCTGAGAAAGAGGGCGTGAGGGGCACGGGGCACGGGGCACGGGGCACGGGGCACGGGGCACGGGGCACGGGGCACGGGGCACGGGGCACGGGGCACGGGGCACGGGGCACGGGGCACGCGAGAGGGCAGGAGTGAGGCTGGTGCCAGCTCCGGGTGAAGCCCCTCTGTGTCCGCCGCTTGCCTGCCGCGCACCCATGGGCTTCCAGTGCCAAACGTGGCTGGCACACATGAGGTGTCTGGGCGTCTGGCGAACAGCTAAAATGCATGCGTGCGACATGCACAATTCACATTCACATGCGAGCGGCATGCACGATTCACATGCGAGCGGCATCCACGATTCACATGCGAGCGGCATCCACGATTCACATGCGAGCAACATGCACGATTCACATGCGAGCAGCATCCACGATTCACATGCGAGCGGCATCCACGATTCACATGCGAGCGGCATCCACGATTCACATGCGAGCGACATGCACGATTCACATGCGAGCGGCACGCGACATCCATGTGTGAATACCTGAGAGGAGTCGGCTACTGTGCCGTCCGTGGGCCCCAGCGCGAAGAAGGAGGAGGTGTACACGAGGCGGCGCAGCGAAGGCGTGGCGCGCAGCGCTTGCAGCATGTTCTCCAGCCCGCCCACGTTCACCTGGGGGGGAGGAGGGGAGGACGGAGGGGGGAGGGAGGGTGGAGGGAGGAAGGGACGGGGGAGGGAGCGAAGCAGGGAGGGAGGGGCGCATGGCAGTGAGCTGAACATGTACTCTGTCTGGCGGACTTTGCTGCGCCTCCACCGACCCGCGTCGCTGACCCCACCCTTGCTGCCCCTCGCCCCTTGGGCCCAACAACGAGCGCCCACCCGCTCGAGCGCGCTCTCATCAGGCCACCCCGCGCGCATCCCTCGCCCCCCGCTCCAATCGCAGCTGTTTGCGGCGCTCTCCAACACTCACCCGCTCGCCCCTTGCTTGCGCTCACCCGCTCGAACGCGCGCTCGTCGGGCCACCACGCCTGCACGAGCGCCGCCAGGTGGAATGCCACCTCGCAGTCGTCCGCTGCGGCCAATACGGACGCGCCATCTGTCACGTCGCCATACGCCCGTTCCACCACCACTGGCAGGTCCGACACGTCGCTGCTGCGCCGAACCAGCACCCGAACCTGCGCTGGTGGTTCGGGAGGAAGGGAAGTAGTGTGCTCTGAAACAGTGCTGCTGAATCTCACGGGATTAACGCTACGTACGCGTAAATTGTCTCGACAAAGCGCAATCACTCAATAACGGAGCCTCACTTTATGCCCCACTTCAACGAGCCGCGCTACCAGCGCCGTCCCCAAGAAGCCCGTGGCGCCCGTCACCAGTACGCGCATGGCGGCGCGACGGCGGGCGCGGGGAGAGTTGGAGCGACTGCTGGCGCGGGGAGAGACGCGCGGCTACCCGTCGATCAAGCGGAGCACAACGTTTTTCACCGAAGACGAAGCTTCTCACAAAGGGACACGTGGAAAGAAGTCAGCTCCCCGTCAGCGTCCGCAGGAAATCCGGCGGTAGCGTCTGCAGGAAGAACCAGTATTCAGGGAGCCAACGAGACTCCCGTGAAAGGGGAACCACGATAAAGGACCGCGGATGGTCGCTAGGGATGATGCGTCGAAGGTCTAACTGAATAAACTCGATGGAGTTCCCGAGGCTCCAGCCTCGAAGCCTACAGCATCAGCGGCACAGGCGGGGGCAGAAGTGCCAGTCCAAGATTATCCTCTCCTGGTTTGTGTATTTCAGCGGCTTGAGCGTCGGTTCGAAAATCAAAACAGTCTGCTCTCTTGGGGTTGAGGGCGTATTTCGATTCATTTCAGCAGAATCAACTGTCTCCCGTTGCAGCTTCGGCTGTCTTCCACACCTGCGACCATCTCCTTCGGGTCAGAATTTGATGCTCGGGATGGTTACCAGTTTCCAGACATCTCTCGCCATTCATTTCGGTAAGCTGGTATTTCGCGACACGCCCTTGCAACATCTTTCTCCGCTCGTTTCTGGCGACGGTTTGCGCTTTCGTCAATGATGAGACCCTAGCTGCGAGTCGCGTGGCGGTTGAAACAGACCGAAGTCGTTCTTTCGGAATGGGCGGCGCACTTGAATGCCTCCCAGACCGCCCTCCTCCCCGCCGTTTTCTGCTCATGCCTGAGCTTGTGCTAGGCCTCCGATTTTCCGTGGGCACACGATAGTGGTAGAGCGGGTATGGCATGTGCGAGCACGGGGTCGTGACCCTAATTTAGGAGCGTCGATCTGAATCCACTAACTTGAGCCCAACTGGGTGCGTGGAGAGAGCTTGTGCGAAGGTTGTACGAGATGAAAGGCACGGACGGCAACGAGCGTTGGGCGAAGCCTGGTCAGAGTAGTTGTCGCGTGATGCTGACACTGACGCCCGTCCAATGTGATAAGTGACGTGGATTTATAGTTGCGCCGCGTCGTCGCCGTCGCCTCACGGGGTTCCGCTTCAGCACGGGTCCAGTCGGCTCCAAAGCGCCGTCACGGCGCAGGGTTGCTCGCGCGGATCGCAGACGCAGAACCTTCTGCTCTTGTGCTCTCGAGCAAAACCCCGCCTTTCTGGTGATTGACAAAGCGGATAAAGCCGTCCGCGGCTGTGGGAACCATGTGGAACGGCGAGGAGGAGGAAGACGACAAAGTGTGCCACACGCGCGCGGAGTACCGGGCGGGGAACCGCGAGAGGGCAGTGCGCGTTTACACTATTAACGATGAATCGAGGTGGGATGATGTATGGCGTGATGGGATGGGATGGGATGGGATGGGATGGGATGGGGTGGGGTGGGTTGGGGTGGGGTTCATGTTTCTGCTACATTAGTCTCTCCCATGGGGTACGGTTACCTGCTTGTCCATTGTGTGTGTCTTGTGCTTCGGTTTGACATGCCTGGCCATTGCACGCCTCATTGCTGCGCGCCTCCCTACTGCGCGCCTCCGTGCGGCGCGCGGCACTGCAGGTGCCTGATGGTGCGCAACGTGCCGGCTCTAGGGTGTGCAGACGACCTCATTCGGCTGTTCGCCGCCCATGGACCCATCCACCAGTGAGTGGCGCAGCACTGTGGAGTGGGTTCTGTGAAATTTTGGGGCGAGGAGCGGGAGGAGCGTGAGAATGTGAGCTTTGCGGAGGGGGATGAGTAGTTGGGGAGTGTGACGGTTGACCAAAGGCTTTCTTATTGGTGTCCTCGTGTCACTATGGCACCATGTCACTATGGGGGGCCATGACACGACTTCGTATGGCATGATTGCGCCATGGTATTCATGCTACTTTATCTCAACGCCACGCTATCATGCCCACATGCCCCATGGCGCCATGGCAGGCACCGCATGATGGATGAGGAGGATGCAGCGCCGTTCACTGACGTTGTGTGGATCAAATTCGCCCACATCAACCATGCGAGGTGAGAGGCGGAGTATAACGCACCGCCGTATTCAACCATAGAGTGCAATGCAGCGTGTGATCCACATGCGTTTGCTGCCTCATGCATTCACTTAACACTCCATGGTGACCTTGCCCGTATCAGCTTATCTTCTCTCATCTCATGCCGCCCAGATTTGCAAAGAGGAAGCTGGACGACTACCCATTCATGGGCAGCGCATTGGAAGTTTCGTACCTGCCCGGGCATGAGGCGATGGAGGACACGTGGGCGAAGCTGGAGGAGAGACGGCGAATTGTGGCCGTCCGATGCCGACGTGAGAAGGGGGGATGAGCGGGGAAGCGGCATGAGGAGGGGGAGGGGAAGGGAAGGGGGGGGAGAGGAAAGGGGAGGTAAGGGGAGGCTGGAAGGAAGAAGGAGGTGGGGTTTGGTTAGATGGGTGGGTGGGCGGGAGGAGAGGGGGGTAGGGAGGTTTGGAGAAGGGTGGGAAGGGGGGGTGGGAGAACCAGAAGTTTCAGTGAGAACAAGAGAGAGTGGTGAGTTGCAATGAGATGAGATGACTTGCAAACCAACATTCACCACCTCCTGCCATGCTGCCATGCTGCCATGCTGCCATGCGGCCATGCTGCCATGCTGCCATGCTGCCATGCTGCCATGCTGCCATGCTGCCATGCTGCCGGGCTGCCATGCTGCCATGCTGCCATGCTGCCATGCTGCCAGGCTGCCAGGCTGCCATGCTGCCATGCGGCCATGCTGCCATGCTGCCATGCTGCCATGCTGCTGTGCTGCCATGCTGCCATGCTGCCATGCTGCCATGCGGCCATGCTGCCATGCGGCCATGCTGCCATGCTGCCATGCTGCCGTGCTGCCATGCTGCCATGCCGCCATGCGGCCATGCTGCCATGCTGCCATGTGTCATGACTCATGACTCACGCCTCCATGCTGCGTGCTCTCCCTGGCAGGGCTGGCGGAGGAGCGAGCGGGCGCGCAGAGAGATGGGCGGCAGGATGACGGCAGGGCAGACGCAAACCACAGAGAGGCGCATGGGGGGATGGGTGATGGCGCACATGCACCAACATCAGCATCAGCATCAGCATCAGCATCAAAATCAACATCAGCATCAGCAGCAGCCGCATGTGCCGGCACGATCCCTTCCCTCGCACCGCTTCCACCTGCGCGTCCCCCACTGCGGGTCCGTGACTCTCCTTCCGCACTGCCATGCCACTCCTCTTGCCTTCACCGCTTTGCTTCTCCTTGCTCCGTTTCTCTTTTCGCTGTGCCACTGCTGTGCCAGCCATGTTGCTTTTGTTGCTCTGCCGCTCCCTCCCGTCTCCCGTCTGCCTGGCCCCCACCCCCCACCCCCCACCCCCCAGGCAGCACCAGCGCATTTCCCTCCCGGCATCCCTCCATTCTGTCAACACACATGTCCGCAGCTCGCCCAGCCACATCAGCAGCCCTGTCAGCCACATCAGCAGCTCTGCCATCCACGTCAGCAGCCACCTCCCAGTCCTTTCCAGCATCCAGAGATCTCCGGACGTGCGTCCCCCCTCCCTGTCAGCCTGGCACGGGGTCCAGCGCAGGCCACGAGGCATGGCCATGGCAGCATGGACAGTGCAGGCAACTCCCTTGTGGAGAACACCAGCCTTGGCAACTCCAGCAACGATCCGCCCTGCAGCAGCGAGCAGCCGTGCGGCGGCACCCATCCCTCGCGCCCTGCGCAGTACTCGAGTGTTCCCTCCATGGACGCCACCGCGGCTCTCGTGCGCTCCCGCCTCACCGCACTGCACCCACCAGCTGAAGCCAGCCTGGCCACGGTGGGTCGTGCCTGCCTGGACCGTTTACAGCCGTTGTTGAGGCCCGTTGTGCGTCATCCTTTGCTTGGTTCGCCCCTCAATTGTACGCTCGTTTCTATGCGGTCTCCTTGGACGTGTTCTTTCTGCCCCTTGCAAGTCGGGTCCTCATGCACTTCTTCTTGCCTCTATCCCTATCTACTTCCCCCGTGTTGCACCATGTCCTGTGTCTCTCCAATCCTCCTCTCCAACCAATGCACAAGACTATTGCTCTGAGCCCTTCATCACAGCAAGGTGCCGCCAGCAGCCAAGGCCCGGGCAGCAGGGGAGAGTCGCATGCGAGGGAGGCAGCTGGGCATTGTGGCGCTAGTGGGTGTGCTCAAGGCACAGCAGCAGGAAGGGATCTGGCAAGTCATGATGCTAGGATAGTCGCTCCTCAGCCGCATGTGCAATGTTTATCTGGTGATAATGCAACCGGAAATGCGGGTGTAGCACAGCCTACTAAAAAGAAGCGTAAACGGATCTAGGTTAGGTTGCTTATGTTAAGCCTGTATTAGCATCCAACTTTTGAAAGTGGGTACGCTTTCGCGGAACGGGTGGCCGGACTGTGCATATCGCAGATGCAATTCGCATCTTCAATCGCGGTGAGGTACAGTAGACCAGAGATAAAGGAGGCCCCTAGATTCCACCGCCACTCGCATCTCGTCGCGCGCTCTGATCGCTGGCGTCCCTCGGGCTTCGTGGCTTCGTCCACCCTCCGGCCAATAGCTCACTGCCAGCTGGCATCTCCGCGATGCCCAAGCCGCCTTGCCGGTCGGCAGCGCGCCGGCCGCCCAATCGGGTTGTAAGACAATCCAAGGCGGATCGCAGGTCCTCGTCGCGATGCGCGCGCGTTTGCGCTGCGATCATCGTTTCCGCCTCGCTGCTGCCGTCGCTCTCCCTCGCCGCTGAATCCGCGGAAAAGACGCGCCGCGCCTCCAACGAATCGCGTAAAGCAACTTCGACAGGTACGCCACGCTGCACCCCTCTCAACCGCGCGATCGACCCCAGCAGTCGCGCCCGCTACACGGTGCCACGTCTCGCGCAATTTTCTTATTCCGCAGTTTCCGCCCCGCGAGCATCGGAGAGCGCGAGAGCGGGCGGACCAGCCTCTGTGCCCCTCCGCTGTGCCTCCCCCGTCCCCCCCAGCCCACCGTCCCCCAGCCCCCCGTCCCCCAGCCCCCCGTCCCCGCGGACCATCGCTCGTCGCCTCGCCGGTATTTTAACCGAGCCACCCCCGTCGACCCCCCCATCGACCACCCCCGTCAATCACCCCCGTACCCCTCGCCCCACCTGATCGATACTAGCCTTTCTGCCCCTCCTCCCCTTCCCTACACTCCCCCGCCCTCCACCTCCCCCACCCCCCACTCGCCCCCGTCTCTCCTCCCCCCGCAGTTCCCCCCGGGCGCTGCGTGTCGCAGGGCGGGCAGTGGCCGCCCTTCTGGCTGCATGGGAAGCTGCCGCGAAGGAGCCCCAAGGGCGGCGCGCAGGAGCTGACGCACTGCCGCGTGTACAAAGACCGGACGTGCTGCGGGCGCGACAACAGCGACCACGCCCTCGTCTCCACCAGGTGAGGGGTGTCAGTGGCGTGATGTCCACGCCGTGGCAGCACTCACTGCCGCGTGCGCAACGAGAGGACGTGCTGCGGGGGCGACACCAGCGTCTGTGCGCTCATCTCCACCAGGCGATGGCAGGTGAGGGCAGGTGAGGGCAGGTGAGGGCAGGTGAGGGCAGGTGAGGGCAGGTGAGGGCAGGTGAGGGCAGTGGGGGAAGAGAGGGGGTGGTGTGGCGGAGTTAGCTGGTGTACTTCATGATCCTCCGCATGCGCAATGGACCAGCGTCGTTGCAGCGGGTGGGTGCCAGCAAGGGCTGTGTTACAGTGTCTGCCATGCGCTTCCTCTCACCATTGCCCCCTGCCCCCGTTCGCCCTCTACTCAGTTGTCTTCCCCCCTTCTCCACCACTTCCCCCTTTCTCCACCACTTCCCCCCCTTTCCCCCTTGCGTCTGCCCCCCCCGCCCCTCTCCCTGTCGTTCCCTACGCCTCCACCTCCGCCTGCATGCCCCCAGGCGGCTGGTGGTGGGGGGGGAGCCGACTGACGACTGCATCGCCAAGTGGGAGGCTCTACAGTGTGCCACGTGTCACCCCCTCATTGGCACGCAGCACGGGCCGCCTGCAATCTGCGACTCCTTCTGCAACGCCATCTTTTCTGCCTGCGGGGCAGCATTCTTCGCAGCTGATGGCTCCTCCCAGGTTGGCACCTTAGGTGCTCAGGCGAGTTTCCAGGTGCTCAGGTTTGCCTTTGGCTTCTGCATCTTGTCTCTGTCCATCTCCCCTTTCCTCGTCCCATCCTGCTCCCTCCATTCTTCCATTTCTCCCCCCCACCCCTCTCCCCCCCCCCCCAGCACATCTTCCCCTGTGGCCGCCGCGACACTCTCTGCGCTCGGCTTGACTCCTTGGCTTCCTCGGGCCGCCAGTTCTGCCAGCTGGCAGGCTTCGATTGGCTGCCTGACTCGCACGGCGCAGGGGTGGAGAGGAGAGGGGGGCGTGGGGAGGAGATGGGGGGGAGAGAGGGCGAGGGGAGGGGCGAGAGGTTCTGTTTTGATGGCACGCTCACCGCTGCTGCTAGTAAAGCGAGGGGGGGGCACAAGGGGGGAGGAGGGAGCGGGGAGAAGGGGGGTGATGAGGAGGAGGAGGCGGAGGAGGGCAGCAGTGGGTGGTGGGAGCAGTGGGTGGGCAGCGAGAGGGGGAGGCCGTTTGGGGGCAATGTGGTGTGGCTGGTGTGCGGGCTCGTGCTCACAGCTGGCCTCACTTACTTGCGGTCAGCGTGCTCGCCGCCCTTGCCCTCTCCCCTCACCTTTTCGCTCCCTCCGTCTCCCCCTCATCGTCCCCCCTGCCTCCTTTCACCCCCCTCTGCTGCCCTGCTTTCTGTGGTTTCAACCGCTCTAAATTCCGCGCGTCGTGTCTCACATGCTGCTTCTCGTCTTCTCCCCTTGGCTACGCAAGCCTCCCTCATCGCCCCCCCACGCTCATGATGCCTTCCCATCCTCCCCATCTCTCTCCGTCAAACCCCCCCCCCCCCAACGTCAGGTGGGTGGGGGCGCGCAGCAGGCGCAGGAGGGCTGCCATGTTCGCCCTGAGGCGGGTGGAGGCACGCGCCAGGCAGCAGCAGCAGCAGGCGGAGGGGGTCAGGGCAAGGCAGCAGCAGCAACTGACTGAGGCCGTGGGCCCTGCTGCCCCGGCCTCTGTCCCCTCGACCGCCCCCACCCCTGCCCACGCCACTGTTGCTACCACCACTGCCCGCAGCTCTGCACGGCAATCTGCCCGCCTGCCCGCCTCTCCTCCTCGGTAGTGGCCGTGGCTGCAAGGGCGCATGGGGGCCGGGCCATGGGTCACGATGTCTAGATGAGCACGAGGTGCCTTGTCAAACCGTGATGTGCTTCAGAACATGTATTGCGAAACGTTTCATCCCGCTTCAAACAATCCTCTCACAAGGGCTGCAGTCGCAGCTGTGAGGGACAAGAGAGACGGGGAAGAGAGGAGAGCAGAGGAGGTGAGTCTCAGAGTAACAGATTAACTAGAATGATGAGGTACAAGGGAATATAACCTAAGGTGTTCTATTCTCTGTGAGCATGCACCTATCTAGCCTATAAAATATATGTTGACCCAGACCCTAGGCTAAACAAGGGGCAACGGCTAGCACGAGACACGCAGCTCAGGTTAGTACTACTAGTCCAACCTCTGAGGCAAGGGTCCGAAGACCAGTCAGCAAGAGTACAAACTAAACAAAAGTAACCCAGGGCGGCACTACTAGTCCAGCCACTGGAGCAGGAGCCACAAGGCCAGTCAAGGGAATATAATATATAGTACACAATCCAGGTACAAGACCCGAAGCTGTACACAGTGCCGCTGATCATCTTAAGGCGCAAGCGCCTTAGTAAAGATATCGGCCAGATGTACTACGCGGGCCTAGCGGCGCTGCTGTAGCTCGCGCAGGAGGAAGTACTACAAACAACTGGATGTGCTTCACTCTGCCCTCCAGTCGAGGCTCCTGACACAGGAGGATCATGGCCCTGTTGTCAGCGTATAGGACCGGGGCAGAGCTAGACCGCTCACCTAAGTCTGTAAGCCAGAGGAGCTCCTGTGCCGCCATGGCACCGGCGTAAATCTCAGCCTCAGAGCTAGACTGGGCAACAGACGACGAGGGAGTGGACCTTCACGAGATGATACTCGAACCAAGGCTAAAGCAATAGCCTTGGGAGAACCTGAGCATCTCAGCATCGTCTGCCCACGAAGCGTCTGTGTGCCCTGCAAGGACCACTGGCCCGCGTCCTCCTAGCACTAGCCCCATGCCCGATGTACTTGCTAGATAATGCAAAACCCTCTTAGCGGCCGACGAGTGATGCGGTCGGTGTCTGCCTGTGGCCACAAAGCGAGCCAGGATGCTGAGAGGGTATGCGAGATCTGGGCGAGTGCAAGTCATCAGGTACATGAGGCAACCCACCAGCTCTGCGTACGGACCACTAAGGTCTACTGACTCCTCAAGTAGTGGACCTGAGAGCCTGTGATCTACTGGCAGAGGTGTGGGCTCTGCGGAGGAGAACTGAATGCCGAACCTCTGAAGGACCTGACGCACCAAGTGTGACTGTGTGAGAGTGATGGTGCGCGCTGCTCTGTCCCTGGAGATCTGCAGCCCAATGTAGCGACGCAGCTCTCCCAGGTCACTGCAGGTGTGTCTCCTTAGCAACTCGGCCTTCACGGAGGCCAGTGCGTCTCTGTCAGCACTGGCGAAGACCAGGTCGTGTACAAAGACAAAGATGTAGAACGGCATCTGGCCTGAACGAACGAAGAGCGAAGGGTCTGCAGAGGGCAGGAAGAATTGCAGGTCAGCTAACGTAGCATGAAGCGTGTTGTGCCACTCTCGAGACACCTGCCCCAGGACGTAAACCGGGCGCTGGAGGAGCCACTTAGTCCCGGGGGCGAAGGTGCCGGTGAAGCCTGGCGAGCGACGCAGGTAGACATGCTCGTGAAGACTGCCCTAAAGAAACGCTGTCGAGAAGTCGAGAGAGTGCAGCTCGTAGTCTTGCTCTGTTGCTACGTGTAGCAGCGCTTGAAGAGTAGTCATCTTCGGGGTAAGGGCGAAGGTCTGAAAGGAGTCAACTCCCTCACGCTCACTAAAGCCTCTAGCAACGTAGCGCGCCTTGAACACCAGCGGCTCTCCAGGAGGGCGCTTCACCTTGAAGGGCCACCGGCCATCGACTACGTTCACCCCAGGTGGGGGATCTGCGTCGACGTAGGTGTCGGCGGATCTCCAAGATGCCATCTCTGCGTCCATGGTAGCTATCCTAAGAGAGGCCCAGGGACACGAGGTTGCCTCAGCATAAGTGCGAGGGGTCGAGATGTCAAGGGCGTGTGGGTCACACTCATGCACTAGCAGCATGGAGCAGAGATGAGGCACGCCCTCGGACAGGAAAGCTAGCTCGTACTGGTGGTCCTCCAGGACGTCCGTGCCAAGGGCAGAAGCACCCCCAACGGACGGAGGACGGGCAGGGTCAAAGAACAGAGTGGTGGTGCAATCAAGGCGACGGGTAGAGGCAAAGTCAGAGATGGCAGCAACAAGAGCGTCAAGACTGGAGACATGAACAGACGGGTCGGTAACAAGAGAGGCGAGGGCCCGAGGAACAAGAGGACTAGAGGCACGGAGGAAGTCAGACAAGGGAGGTGGAGCGACAACCAGCGAGGACGGAGGAGGCGGCAGGAGGAGGGGAGGACGAGACGCGTGGGAACGAAGCACCATAGGGTGAGAGCGCTGGACATGAGAGACAGGACGAGCACGAGAGGGACGACGAGACCAGAAGTTGGACAAGGGCGTGGGGTCAGGAGACACATGAGGATTCAGAGGAGGAGAATGCGGGGGAAAACGAGCCGGAGACGAGTCCGGCGGAGGAAACACAGGGCCGTAGACAGGCGGGGGAGGCGCAGGCGGGCGGTCAGGGGAGGGAATACCGAGGTGGCGAAGGGCAAACACTGGTGGCGACTGCCGTTGCTGCTGCTCCACACCGACACCAGAACCTCCAGCTGCACCAAGGCTACCTTCGGGATGCTCCACGATAGCATCCCTAGAACTCGAAGCCTCTCTAGCACCGGTGCCACCCCCAGGACGGCCAGGACAAGCCACGGTAGTACCCCCATGACTAGCACCCCCAGAATAAGCACCTCCATAACGAAAACCCTCTCGAGCACCGGTGCCACCCCCAGGACCACCGGGACAAGCCAAGAGAGTACCCCCAGGACTAGCACCCTCCTCAATGCCCGCACCCCCAGAGCTCGCCGACCCCTGCGGCGCCTGCTGCTGCGGCGGCGGCTTCGGCTGAGACGACTGCTGCTGCGGCTGCGGCGACGGCGGTGGCTGCTGCAGCGGCGGCAGAGGAGGGGACACTGGGGAGGAGATAGGTGGCGACACCAAAGCCGCGGGGCCTCGGGAGTCAGCTGACTCCTCTGTTAGAAATAGATTGCAAATCCCACTTTTGTATTTGTACCTTTATATCCTAGTTTAGGCTAGGAATGTTCTAGTGGGTTGGGGTGTACTCACAAAATCCCAACCTCACCCAATTGTGATCCCCCCAATCTCCAATTACCCAATTGGAGATTCCGGAGTTCCCAATGAGGATGCCCTCCGATTCCCCCTTCATCCATTCTCTCTCACCTTGCCATGTACTTATAGAGCCTTGGGCTCCTTACCTAATCAATCCTTTCAGCTCTATTTTTAATATGGTATCAGAGTGACCTATCCGCACATGCGGATCAAGGTCCTAGTCTTAACGTGCCCGCGCTACGTGCACATTATCGTCGCGACATTCGTCTCGAGTCGTCAGAATTTTTCGACGTGCTCCACTCTACAGTCGCACCTCTCATCGTCGACCACCTTTGCGCTCGACCTCGTTGAGTTTCTCAACTCAAAAGCTTTCACGCTTCTTACCGTCGATTTCCTCCTCAGTTCTCCTTGGTCGAGTCTCAATTTCGACCATCTCTTAAAACTCGTTTTCGAGTTTCCCCTCGGACCCCGCCAGACTAGGCAAACTCCCCTCGCGAAATCGCCTCCACGAACGTCTCGCGTCAAGCAAGAGTAGGTACACAAGTTGAAGCGGAGCGGAGCTGGTTGCTGAGCTGGTTGCGGAGCTGGTTGCGGAGCTGTGTAGCTACGGGACAGGGCCTGGGGGTGTGTGGGGGGGTGTGTGGGTCCGGGGTTAGACATAGTCTTAGATTCAGTTCAAAGTCGGCGTTTTAACGAATCTCTGCCGACGCCATTTCCTTCTAAGTGGCGTTTCGACGAAGCTGCCGGAGTGATTTTCAGCAATTCTCTTCGACCGATTTCCAGAATTGCCGCGCTGCGCACCGAAGTTCCTATTGGGAACTAAAGAGCGTTGCTTCGTGAAAATCAAGCGGCAATGGCTTACTCAACCACTTCACTCGCCAACCCGATCCCGCTCCTTCGTCTCGAGCCGGACGGTACATGCTCCAACTACAAGGCTTGGCGCTATGGTGTCGACAAGCACTTGATCAATCGCGAGGTGAAGGGGCTTGAGCTCACCAACGTCCTTCTCAACATCGGTGATGGCAAAGAGCCTCCTAAACCCGAGAGGTCCGCTGATCCAGCTAATGCCGCCGCCGAAGCAGTTTATGCTGCTGCACTGCTCAAGTACAAGAATTGGGAGAAGGCCGATGGCGCGGTCATTAGTGTCTTCCTGGGCACCACTCCTCCCGAACTCGTCGAAACCTACCACAACTACCCGTCTGCCAACGCCATTTGGCTCTACCTCGAAGACCGCTTCATGAACAAGACTGCAGTGGGAGTTGCTATACTTATCCCCAGCATGTTCCAAGTGCGGCTCAAGGACTCGCCAGGCATGGCGGACTATGCCACCAAGGTGCAGTCCATTCATGGTGAACTCAAGCAGTTGGGGATAGTCTTCCCTGAGCAAGCCCCTGCAGCCGCTCTCCTAGTCGGCCTCACACCGGCATATGAAGTCACGCGCAAGATGCTCTTGGGCCTTGCTCCTGCAGACTTCACATTTGCCAAGGTCTCATCCACGCTCCTTTCTGCCGAAAAGGACAACAGCGCTCAAGCCAAGGCCAATGCAATCCGCGCTCCCGTGCCTTAGGCCTATGCCGCTTCGGCACCATTCGAGCGCAACCGCTTCCCCCCGTGTCCCTACGTCATCAAGCATGGCCCTTGTGCCGGCCAGGTGTGTGGCGGCACCAACCACGCCCTCGCCTCCTGCTTCAAGAAGAAGGATGATGAATAATATGCCATCAATGGGACCGCCTCGAAGCCGCCAAGCTGGATGGTGAATCATGCTCCTCGCAAGGGCAATCAAGTCGAAGTGCAGGAATCCGTGCAGGCTGCTGTAGCTCCCCCTGCTGATGTGCGCCTTAACATGTTGTTCCCTGGCACTGCCATGATTAATGAGACGATTTCGCAGTGTCCCGGCTCACAAAGCACCTCAGCCACAATAGAGTTCACCCTCGACAGTGGGGCCACTCACACAGTTCTCAAGGAAGAACACTCCTTCAAGCCGTACGAGACACCAATCCGTCTACTAGGAGCAGACTCCAGTTTCACAACACACGCCAAGGGCTCCTCCACAGTTCCGTGTCCAGCTTTCCC